CGAGAATTAAATAACGAGGAACCTTGGAATAATGTGCATGGTAAGGGTTTACTAAATATGGTGAAAACACTGAATTTTAAAGTCAGCCAAACCAGAACCAGCACAACAAATTCCAAAAACTTATGAGCAAACAAATCTGAATTTTCAATTTCAGGATTATTGTCTTAAATATTGAAAACCTGGAATTTCAGACTCTTAGGACGGTTACAACGATCCCCTTCAAGTCCTCCTTAGTTATAAATAACATTCGCGTGCGTTAATGTCGATAGGACATATTAAAGAGTGACGAAACCCAATGCTAAATATAAATCCGTCTTCAAACACAGAAATTAGTGTAGATCCGTTAAAGTTATTGTTAGCTAATAATAACCTCAGAATGCGCCACATATAATTATACATATATCCTATTGACATCCACAATTGATATTCTTTATTCAACTATTCAACAACTAAAAAACTGGTTTTTAACTTAAGCAGTATATTTAGGGGCCAACTTTGGGCCCATTTTTATGCTGTCGAAAAGCTCACTAAATGCCGAATATTCCTGGGTCCGTGAGGTTTATTCGATAGGTGTCGGTTTGAAGTTCGACCTGGCAAGAGTACGAATGATGCAATTTTCAATTTTCTGCATAAAAAGAGCAATGACGGTTATGCAGTGGCAGAAGACGCGTAGTGTTCTGCTAAATGTGTAGGTCACAGAATACTTTCGCAAAAGCTTCATAATTATGGATTAAGGGACACACTCCTGCAGTGGTTTCGTTTGTTTATTTCAGAGAATCCGTTTACTGTGAGCTCTTTGTTTATGTTTTTTTGTTTTTTATTTCGTGGTTCCTGGCTTCTTCCACAACTAACACTCACTGAAGCTTTGAATGGAAATATTCGAGGGAATAAACAACCAGTTACACAAAACAAATTTTATATCAGCAACAATAATAAACATCCTTCAATAATGAGAAACCAAAAAAAAAACAACGCCATTCGGTAATGACGCCATGATATAAGAAATTTGTTTATGTCAGTATCTAACTTTTGAATGAGAAAAATGTATTTCAACCCTCTTAATAGGTACCTATTTTTTTATCTTATAGAAGCTTTCCACAGCATATTTATTTCATGTGGAAAAACTTGCTACCTATTATTCAATAATATAAATCATAAAATACATAGAATAAAAAATTGAATAACGCGTTAGAATTAGTGATAATGAACAGTTATTCAATAATATCTAGCTATTAGTATGGTTTTAATGTTTATGAAAGGCTGAGCATTATATTTTCTTCTGCTTTGCTAAACATTTCGCTCTACTAATCTTTAAAATAACGCAATAAATGAGAAACTATAAAACACACTTAAAGAACCAGCGGAAAACGGTCGGCTTCAATCGCAATTATAATACGGTCAACATAATAGAAACCAACAAAATAATAGTAGATTTTTATTAATTCAAATTTGCTGTTTTATTTTATTTGTTTGCTATTTCGAAACAATAAGTTTAAAATATGTAAAGAAATTATACCTAACATAGGTACTATGAAAATTATAAGTAAGAAATATTACCGCTTCCCAATTAAAAAGTGAAGTAAAGAATTCTTAAAAAATGAGTACATGTCACTTGATCCCTTTTCTACGTCTGCAAAATAACGGGGATGGATTCCGCCCACACTTGAAAAGTACGTTGAAGTAGGAGGGCGACACAAAAGGGATCAGTTTTAAAACAAAGCTTGGAAATAAAAGAAAAACTTAGAGGGCTATTTATTTAGCATCAGCATTTTCCTAGTATTCTTCAATTTGTACAATTTTTAAGCAAGCTATAAAGCTATATACAGCACGACTACCAGAAAATGTTATAGGGCCTTCTTGGAGGCCAATATTAAAATAACCTACCAAAGATCAATAATTTTGTACTCAACACCGCCTTGCAGAAACTTTTTGAGGAAGTAGAGTAAGACGTTATTTGAAAGGTATTACTTTAGGTTAATAAAGCCAGTATCAGATAAATAAATAATAATAATAAAGAATTCCTAGCTTATTCCATCAAGGTTATATTCCATTTCGAAAATTCTGGTAAAAATCAAGTAGGTACACATACCGGTTGGTCAATAATTACTTGAGACCCATGTCAAGGGTCATCCGTAGAAACCCCCATGCGGTGATACCAGGTTGTGCAAAACTTTTTTAACTCAGATTTGAACACGTCGTATCCAGTATAATTTATAAACACTGTACTCTTTCCTAAAGCTGTTTGCTCCTAACAACATCAATATCAACGTTCAGACGTAGTCTATTCTTGAAGAAATCGTGCAACACTCAGAGCGTCTCTGGAGGATAAGCCACAAAAACTGGAAGTACAGCTTCGTCTCCATCTTTTGGATACTTCCTTCTTGAAGGTAACAGCCTCAATGGTGTTAGCCGATAAATTCGGCCTGACATGTCCTATATCTTTGCCGACGAGTTTTACAGCGCCCTACAAATCTAGTAAGATAGACGAACACCATTCTCTGCTTAACATGAAGCTTTAGAACATAGGTCTGAAAAAAAAGATCCCATAAGACGAATGGAATACTTAATCCAATACCACTGGAATTGAACAACGTCTTCGCTTTACAAATCTTTGTTGCACTACAAACATTTTGGACAGTAGTATGGTGTTAGCGCAACGAGACTTTTTAGAAAAGTAGTAGACAAGGTGCAAATAGCGGGGATGATAGCCAACGTTCGAAGAGAACAAGGTACTTAAAGAAGAAGGTGGCAAAATTCAAATTGAATGGAAACATTTGCCCTACACGGAAATATAGAAAGCAGCAAACTTGATACATATTTTGTACCTGTCAATACGATCACTAATTGTATTGCTGATGCAGAGCTATGCATGCCTATTTTGTTGAACGCTCTATTATGATACGCTCTGTGGGACATTTTTTGAAACTTATATGACCACAAAACTCAAAAAATTGGATTGGGATGTTTCCATAAAAAAAGATATTCGGTTTAGTTTGGCAAATCTTTTCCGAATATTTTAAAAACTATTACTTCAACCTAATAAGCCTCCTCACGTGACTAGAAATGTTTTGATAAATACCTTATTGAAATACATTCAAATCCTCAAATCAATTTTAATACATCTGTGAACAAATTTCATGACAATACAGGCATTGCCTTGAAAATTTATATGAATTTTAAGCCCTCAGCTGCGACAGCTTTGTATAGAAGAGCTTTTTGTCTCTTTTAATCTTTACTTGCCAGTATAGGTTTTTTGAAATTTGAAACCCTCCAATGACGAGACATAAAGCTCTACAAAATGGATTGGTCAAGGTCAGTGCATTTAAGCCCACTGTACCGTATGAGCTGCAAAATATAATAACCTTTAATTTACTGTTAATACTGTTAGGAGATAAATTACCGTCTATTTTTTTCTGAACAAGATAATTAATGTTTCATTAAATGTACCAGAACAACTATTGAAAAACCCTATTAGTATTCAACGACTAATTTTTTCCATTCGACTAAACAAGAGTTTCAAAAATTATTATGACTAAGCAAGTAATCCTATTCTATTTGGGTCCATATCTTGGTCCAGTTTCAATATCCTCTGTTTTACTATTTTTTACTTACCACAACGTCACTAATAACCCAAAACGTACCTATGGTAGATCAGTTCCTTACCTGAAACAAGACAAATTATTAGAAAAACCCAAACTGGGATTATTGTAAGAATTCTAGGAGTGTAGGAGATAGCAGAACATCTGTAAACATTAAAACAATTTTATGCCTGTTAACTTCCTATGCGTCGAGGTTTTTGTAATAAAAATTATTGACTCATTTCTATCTAGGAAACAAATCAGTAAGAAAATAGAACTTTTGAAAAAATGAATTATAGGGACCTACTTGGTTTATTTTAAATTTTTACCAATAATATAATTACCAGGTACCTCTACCAGGTCTTGCCAAATTGTATAGCATTATTTATGGATTGAGTTTTTTTCCTCAAAGTGAAAGAAAGATTTCGATCCTCAAACCGGTAGTTTTTCAGATATAGATCGTTGAAGTTTTCATAAAAAACTGATATCTCAAAAAAGCAGTGGTCGATTCCTATAATAACGGATCGATTGAATCTGTCGAAATTATTTTAAAAAATCCGCCAAAGTGTTTCTGAGGCCTAAATAAAGAAAACGTATTTTCAATTGTTTAGAAAACATCTAAGTGCGGTCGTACGCCAATGAAACATCAAACATGCAACATGCAACGTGCAAAATGAAGTAAATACCGCAGATAGACTTGTACTTCATATATCCAATGAAAAAAAAAAACGTGCAATGTCTCGGGATCATCGCACACCGGTTCAGCACACGCGTGGGCTGCACCGATGTAAGATCATCCCGAGACATTCTACGTTTTTACAATGGATATATTCGACAAAAGTCTACCCGAGGTATTTACTTCATGTCGCACGTTGCATGTTGCATGTTTGATGTTTCATTGGTGTACGATTGTACTAAGGGCTTGCAGAAAAACGGGCTTCAATTGCTTTCTTGAAAACTAGGGGAAAACCAAAAAAGTTATATTTTTATTGTCTTAGCCAAAATTATGAGGGTAGCAAAAACCTGTTCATAATTTTTTTTAATGCAAAAAACTAAGCAACTTGCCTGCTGGGCGAGCCGCTTTAATTAGTATTATTATTAAAAGTAATTGCTGCAATAAAGACGCCCAATAAATTAATAGACAAACATCCAAAATTCTATTAGAAATGACCTAACCGTTTTTGAGACAGCAATGAAAAATCAATTTTTTTCCGAAACTGTAGGTATCTCTTCAAGGAAATATTTGCAGACCCAAATTAGTAAGAACTTTTTCTTCCTCACTTCAACGGGAGAAACTCTATTCCAAAGTGAATTGTACGAATTTGCTAAAATTAATGATTTACCTACAATAAGGATTTACATAATTAGCGTTTGTTTTGAAAAATGTACTATGTACCAGATCATGACTAAAAATCAACAAACCTGACAACGGTGACATGCTTCCTAACTGGCGGTAAAGTGTGACAGACGTCAGAAACCTTTACAAATCGACTAATATGCTGCCTTCTTGTAGTACAAACTACACGTATCCGTTCCTGGTGAAATCCAGATCTTCTGACCCGCACAACCGTTCGATCGCACACATCGTTCATCGAGGTAACCGTAGTTCCACTTTTTGTTGGACTGAGATGTCTACTCCGTGCATTTTCTTGTAGATAGGTGTTGGAATATACACTATCACCCGATGATAGAGAAGAATATGATGGTAAATGACTTCGCATTATATAAACTGGAGTGTCGCGGTTACACTAGATATATGCTATTAAATGTTTTTTGGTAACATGCGGTAATACAAGAAGTCGGCCGAATAGTAGTATCATCTAGTGAAATATGATGTTTCAAGAGCTAAATGGGAAAAAGACAACCCAAAAATATAACACTAATTTTAAGCCTGGAAAACTTCATTATGAAATGTTTAAACCTAGTGTTAGATTTTGGGTGTAACAACTTCTTTCTGTTGAAGTTGGAAACATTGATTTTTATAATGGGTTTATTAAGCATCACAAAATCTCCTCACACAGGTAGTATTCATAGTAGTAACCTTCAATCAAACGAAGCTATAGTGATTAAAGTTGACAAGCTCGTCAAAATTTAGTTTACAACATTTAAATTTAAGGAATTCTTATGTTCACGCTATTAATACGACCCTTGATAAAACAAGGCAAATAGAACATAATTATGGCGTCCCACCCAGTTTAAAAAATATGGCTACATCTTTGACAGCAAGATATTCATTCCCTTACACAACAGTTTGGGAGGAATTGTATCTGGTATGAATATGAGGCGGCTCGTGTGGCGCTGAGTCAAACAGTAAGTTAGGAAATATATTGTTTTTGAAGTATATTTTTCCATCATTTATATGTTTTTTTACTGACGTTCAATGATGACGTGAAATAAAAGCAAAATAAGTTTTGGCAAGAGAACAAAACAGATGAACATCAAACCGAAGTTAAAGATATATGTATACACTTGAACACTAAGGCTACTAATGTTAAAACAAAATATATTATAGTAATAATTATCCTGCTTCTGCAAACTCTTCGACAAAAAAAGTAGCATCATGAGCTGTCAGGTAAGCATGCGTTTTCACTGGTGATTGAGATAATGTAAAGACAAGGAGATTTGGACAGGACACCCTGTGTTTGTGTTAGTAAAAATTTCCACTCGGTAAAAATATATCAGGGACTTTCTAAACCTACATAGTTTGTAAATAATTGTGTAAAAAATAATGGAACATCACGTTGCGTTGGGTGGATTAGTAAAAACATATCTTGTTTTCCAATTATCACACGTTAACAGTTATCTTTTCAATTATAATAAACGCGTCAAGTGAATGGCGATTTCGAGGTAGAGTATTCAAATAATCCAAGGATATTTTATGTTTTCATTAACAAAAGAATATTCTGTTCACCAGTTAACTGAAGCAAGTATCTTATCTCAGAAGGTCAGGGATAATAAAAGCTCAAAGAAGATTTTAATATAGACTTTATCAATCGATTACATAATAATTATTAATTATCATTAGATTAGATATTTTCCAGCCACATGTCGCACCATGTGTAAGATAAACAAAAATAGGCCATAGGGTTATAACATGTGTGAAAATAATTTATTGGCCTTGAGATGATTTTATCTTGGTCTAGATAGATGGGGCATAAAAAATAGGAATGATTCAATATTCTATTCGTGTATTCCTACAGCTATCGGTAATTTTATATATTATCTTAGCTGGTTTGATCATCCTGAAAAGAATAACCACGAAAAAAATTACTATAGAAATTTTAACATAAACAGACATCAAAATAAAGCAGTACAGTTATTCCTCTATTAGTATTGAAATTGCGGCACTTCCGAGTATTGAATCGAGACATGATTGCTAACGAGACTAGGATATTAATATCGAGGTTAATATAGTCATTGCCTGCGTCCATATTAATTAATGTACACAAACACAGAGCAGAAGACAAACTTCCAAAGTTAAAAGCCCAAGCTGATGTGCTCATGAATCACACATGCATAAGAACAATTCAATTAATTTTGTACGGAAGGTAGATAAATTAAGAGTAATTAAACCAACATGCTTAATTACCGTTTTGCAGCAGTGAATTGAATTGTTGCACCCCCTTAGAAGATGAACCACATAATCACCTCATCCTAATAATAATTGTCACTCCATATTTACATAAAAATAATTTAAGATAATTCAATATAATGAAGACAATGTGAGATAAAAACTCGTTTAAGTTCGGGTACTTCCTGCAAATCAACGTGTCTAATTGGTCAAGAACGTAACTACTACTAAATACTAAAGTGGCATCATGAAACATGGACCTTCTATATATATTTTAAAAAAAATGAATGTGAGCTAAGTACAGTTTTTTTGTTTGTTGAATTTAAAATATCCTTGAAAAAACTTAACATGCAATAATTTTTTAATTGTGATTTTTATGATCACTTGGCCGGAAAAAATAGGCTTGATAAAATTGAACTTTAACCTCACGAGTTGGCTGATGTGAATAAAAATTGAATACCTACACTGGTTAACATTTACATAATATACTTATTACATTGGTTAAAAATATGAGCCAATATTCTATGAATAAATTTAGTTCTTTCAATTTTATTTGCCTCTACTTTTTATGAGTTTCAGGTGGCAGAAGTGCAGTAGTTCATGTGTGGTCAAATTCAAATTTTCCCTATTTAAATTACAAGGAAGTTCTCATGCACGGTAGGGGCGGTATCAACTTTCAGAAGCATATGTGGAGGAACAATATTGTTCCCTTGAACAAAAAATCTACTTTTCAAGTTTACGAATGGTGATAACTGCTAACAAAATGCATCGAATACAGCTGGAAATTTCCTATGTACAACACCTGTTCTTTATTTTTATTTTTCTTTTATGAAAATTAGCTATAGGGGCTCATAGAGACACACATTATCAACTGTACGCAGCAGTTTTGAGCCTGATGACAGCTTCTTAACAAGATTGAAAATTATATTCTATTTAGTAAGTGATTGAAACATACTGAGAGGCATTACTCATACTGGCGATAAAAAGGTAGTGCAATTTAGGAGTTGATCATTGAATCAGTGCTTTGAGGTGTTGCATGGCACAAGCGTTGTTATTTTTCACGAAACACCCAAGCATGTTAACCTCCAATGCTTCACTAAGAAAATTTTCAATATAATGTACATTAATAAATTCATGTATTCCATACCATTTTTCTTTGATGATTGTACAATTATTTTGTTTTATATAAAAAATATATCTTGCTTAGGCAAGGTAAAGTGTAGGTTGCCTTATTTATTTACTATTAATTTGTTATAAAACTAATTGAAAGACACCTTCAATTCAATGTCGCTGTTGCAAAACTTTTGATTATTGATATGTACAGGGTGATTCATTAAGAATGGCACTCGGCCATATCTCAAAAACTATTCATCGTAGTCTTGTCGGAAAAAAATTATCCCATAAATATGGCCAAGAGAAAATGCTGGAAATATATTTCAGCTTTCTAAAATAACCGTAAGGGGGCGTAACCCAACTGTCAAAGTACAAAAATGATCCTATTTTTTAAATTTCAAATGGAAACGTATCTCAAAAATGCTAGCAATAGATTTTTGATGAAATTTCACACAATTTTGATTCATGACTTTTTACCATAACTTATCGGATAAGGTAGTTATGAGCTGTCAAATATTGCAACACAAGAAAGCGGATAACTTCAAAACGACTCAACAAATCTGGTCGATCTTAGGCTCGTTGGAAAGACTAGAGTCTGTTCTTTAACTTTGTTGTGAAAAATTCAAATTCTGGTTAGTAGGACTGACGCTATGCGTCAATATTTGAAAACAATTGTATGTTTCCAATTTTTCTTAAAATTTTCAAATGGAACGGTGTATTTAAGATATGTTAAATCGATTTTTGAGGATGTTTTACATAGTGTTTCTTTATTATTCCTTCCTACAAACGAATTCCAGAGAGTGTTAAAATTAATTTCATCAAAAATAATCAGTATTTATGAAAAAGCCCCCGTAAATTGAGCAGATACCAGTTAAGTATGTCAGGCTGACACATTTTTGAAACTTCAAACGCTATTTTCTAAAGTCAAAATGCATTTCCCAAATGAAGAAGCACAGGTCATCCTTGAGGTTCTGCATGAATGTAATGGAAATGCAGCAATTGGTAGGTGGTAGACGCTTTTTCGGTAGGTGGTAGACGCTTTTTACTCATTGGGCGTCGACCGGTGAGATACCACCATGCCAGAATTGAGTAGCGCTAAGTGGTATCACCACGTTCCGCTACTGCGCTGGCAGTCCGGTTCCAACAATGAGTAACAGATAGCGTGATGGCGCCTCCAGGATCAAAATATTCCGGAGGTAAAATACCCGACCACTCGGATCTCCGGGCGTCGGGTGATCCTGGGGGTCCTTCATGCAAAGATATAAAGAGAAGATCAAAAACTCAACTCAGAATTGATTTTAGCAATATAAGAGGAATAAGTACAAATATGAATTCAGTTCACCAACATCTTGAAGAACAAAGACCTGACATCCTTGTTCTCACTGAAACTAAAATCAGTTCTGCAACACCTATTGTGAACTATCTTTATCCCGGCTATGACCTACTCCACCGATTTCGACATAATTTTGGGATCTGTGTGTACATTAAAAATGACCTTTCATGTCATCGAGAGGAGAAGCTAGAACCAGCGAACCTTGATATCATATGGCTAAAATTCACCTCAAAGTCATCGACCAAGTTTATCTGCTGCCTCTACCGACCGCCAAGTAACACCGATTACCAAAACTTTTTCGCGACATTATCCGAAAGCTGTGATAGTATACAGTCAAACTATCCACAGGCGGAAATTGTCTTTTTAGGCGATTTCAACGTCCACAATATACCCTGGCTGAAACACCACAACAAAACAGATAACGAAGGCAGAGAAGCAGAAGCTTTTGCCATAAGTTGTGGTCTAACGCAGCTTGTCGATGAACCTACCCGTATCTCAGAAAGGGGCGAATTTGCAGCGCTTTTAGACTTGTTCCTAACCACCAATCCTGACTCGTACACAATTCAAGTAGATGCTCCACTTGGTTCGTCCGATCATAAACTTATAATAACAAAGTGCGAAATGCTCATCCCACCAAGCCTACAACCACTTCCTCGTAAAATGTGGCACTATAAATCGGCAAAATGGAATGACCTAAAACAATATTACCTGGATTTTCCATGGCAAGAGGTTTGCTTTAAAACAGCTGATCCCACTATTTGCTGTAATGAAATAACACAAGTAATCTTATCTGGAATGGACGCATATATCCCACATACAACTAAACGTAGAGCTAATGCAAAACCTTGGTACAACAGCCAGTGTCAAACGGCTGTACAGAAAAAACACAGAGCATATAACCTTTGGAAACGACAACAAACCGCTCAAAACCACACAGAATTTATAGAAGCCAGAAATAGTTGCAAAATTACTATTGACTCCGCTAAAGAAACATACAATCAAAGAATAAAAAACAGGTTGCTGAATTGTCCAAGTAGTTCTAGGTCTTTTTGGTCTCTTGCAAAAGCTGTTGGATCTAACTTCACCAAGTCATCCATACCACCACTTACAGATAAAAATAATCACTTAGCCACAACATCAGAGGAAAAAGCCAATATGCTTGCCCAAATGTTTTCCTCCAACTCCAACCTAACAGTGCCAAACGGAAAAACTCCACCGTTCATTGAAAGGGTTTCCCATAGTATGCCAGAGGTACCCTTTTGTCACAGAGAAATACGAAAATCCCTAAAAAAGCTAGATACAAACAAAGCAATGGGTCCGGATGGCATTCCCGCAATAGTACTCAAAAATTGCGCCAACGAACTCACCCCAACTTTCGCAAAATTATTCAATTTGTCTTACAGGCAAGAAGTATATCCATCATCATGGAAGTCTGCCGCAGTACAACCCATTCCAAAGAAAGGAAAAAAGACAGATCCGTTAAACTATAGACCAATTGCTCTACTTCCGGTGATATCAAAAGTAATGGAAAGAGTTGTGAACAATCACCTAACCAAGTACTTGGAAAAGTACAAAATTATCAACGATAAGCAATACGGATTTCGAAAATATAGGTCAACTGGCGATTTACTTACATACGTCACTCACTTATGGCAAAAAGCGATTGAGTTGCGGGGTGAAACAAGAACAATTGCCTTAGATATATCTAAAGCATTCGACAAAGTTTGGCATGAAAATCTGCTCAACAAGCTCAAAGCAATGGGATTATCGCCGAAACTCTGCACTTGGTTTGAAAGTTACCTAAAGGACAGATCCATTTATGTTGCACTGGATGGCCAGAACTCCAACTCCTACCAAATAAATGCTGGTGTGCCACAGGGAGCAATCCTTTCGCCAACTCTTTTCCTGATTTACATAAATGACCTCATAGATAAAACAGTAAATCCACTTTATTGCTTTGCAGACGATGGCAATGTAGTCTCCTCACTCATACCACCCACAGGTCTTTCCGCACGTGAATTCCATCATCTTAGACTAACTCAAATATCGCAGATAAATAACGACCTGGAGATAATAGAGGACTGGGTGAACAAAAACCTTGTACAGTTCAACGCGCAGAAAACCCAAGCAGCTCTGTTTTCAAAAAAGACCAGCACCGGTGAGCCAAACATCATGCTATCTGGAAGTGCTGTCACATTACAGACTCAGTTGAACATCTTGGGGGTTACTGCAGAGACCAACATGTCTTGGCACAGTCACGTGGCAGATATTGCTAAAAGGGCCTCCCAAAAGCTGGGGGTGCTATTTCGTACAAGACATCTGTACACACCAAGCCAATTGCTGACACTCTACAAAGCCCAGATTCGACCAACTATGGAGTACTGCTCACATATATGGAGTGCAGCACCCAAACATACCTTAATGCTTTTGAATACCGTGCAAAAACGAGCTATCAAGCTGATCAATGACCCCGCACTTACTCGTAACTTGGATGGTCTCGAACATCGCAGATCTGTGGGCGATTTATCTCTCTTCTACAGGTACTATCACGGAAAATGCTCTGAAGAGTTGGCACGTATGATTCCACCGAGAGTAGCACCTACCAGGCGAACCCGTCAAACAGACGGTAACCATGAATTTACTGTCAAACTAGAGGCACCAAGAACCTCATTATATCAGAATTCATATCTCTGGAGAACAGCATCGCTGTGGAATAAACTCCCTGCGACGGTTTTCCCTGCAGGTTACAACCTGAACCGTTTCAAGACCAACATACACCGACATTTCCGCGCACTTGCCGCTTCTCGAGCGTGATAGGACATTTCCTTGCGAGTGCGCATATCCGTAAAAAAAAAAAAAAATCGCAGCCACTAAAATCTAATTATTTTGAAAATGGACAACGCTTATAAAAAAAATAATAGACTGTTTTTGGATTATCTCTGTTAGTATTTACAGAAAGAGCAGAATGAAAAATGAATAATAAATCCACAGTACGCGGGTGCCGAATTTATGCGGAAATGACGTCTAGATTTTAGTTTCCAAAATTATTAATAGATGGCACCACCACTTGAGTAGTTTACTATTCTCAAAATAAATATGTATTTCTTCTTCAAGTTTCGTATCCTACCAACATGCTCATGTATTAATGGCTATCATTACATGATCATTGCATACTATAGTTACTATTATAATTTTCTAACGCACTTTTTCCATTATTTGACATTCATCAATGATGACAATCAACTGTCAGAAAAGCAAAGTGAGCAAAGTCATTATTTACGAGGGCTTTTTCATAAATATTGATTATTTTTGATAAAATTAAATTTAACACTCTCTGGAATTCGTTTGTAGGAAGGTTTAAGAAAGAAAAACTGTGTAAAACATCCTCAAAAATCGATTGAACATATCTTAAATATACCGTTCCATTTGAAAATTTCAAGAAAAATTGGAAAAATTTAATTGTTTTCAAATATCCACCCATAGAGTCAGTCCAACTAACTGAACTTGGAATTTTTTACAATAAAATTAAAGAACAGACTCTTGTCTTTCCAACGAACCTGAGATCGACCCAATTCGTTGAGTCGTTTTGAAGTTATTCATGTTCTTAAGTTGCAATATTTGACAGCTTATAACTGTCTTATCCGATAAGTTATGGTAAAAAGTCATGAATCAAAATTGTGTGAAATTTCATCAAAAATCTATTGCTAGCATTTTTGGGATACGTTTCCATTTGAAATTTAAAAAATAAAACCATTTTTGTACTTTGACAGTTGGGTTACGCCCCCTTACGGTCATTTTAGAAAGCTGAAATATATTTCCAGCATTTTCTCTTGGCCATATTTATGGGATAATTTTTTTCCGACATGACTACGATGAATAGTGTTTGAGATATGGCCGAGTGCCATTCTTAATGAATCACCCTGTACAAGGAAAATAATTTTATGTAGGTACCTAACTAGCAGAAATTGACAATACAAAATTTGCTGGTACTATAGGAGTAGCATTACAAAATCATTTAATCAGAAGAAGAAAACAGTCGAACCCAATTATCTATTGCAAGAAATTGTTTTTTTTTTTGTATTTGCAAATTAATAATACCATATTTTACGATTATTATTATGAGGTTAACTGTATTTTAGAAATTTAAGCTGATATGTACCAGCTCCTAAAATTAATTTTTCACATTGGAAATTTAGGCTATCTATCAAAACACAATCACTTTGTACATTAGCCAAAAGGCCATTGGCTTTCTCCTTTTATTCCCAACTTTATGCTCTTTTATCGATTGAAACTTACTTCTGGCAAGATGCCCAATGGAACATACACGTTGGCTAGAGTATTTTGGGATGATCAAGCTTAACGAACTGTGTACTGGTGAAAACTTTTAAGTGGATGGCGTAAATAAGGAAAGTTTCCGAACTAAGAAGTTATAAAGTAAAAAGTCACATTCAACATGCCCCGGGAAAATTAATTTAACATTATATACAAACTTGTTCGAGTTTACTTTTTTGAAGCTTAGCTGTTTTAAAAATAAAGTAACTATGTGATAACGGAAAGAAAAGCTCGACTAAGTAGGTATTATATTTTGTTCTAAACGCCATAATTAATTCTTCGTTTAAGGCTGTTAAACAATTGTTATTTTTTTCGCGAAAATAGAACAAAAGCCATGTGTTTAGAAGAGAAACCGAGTTAAACAGTTTAATTTTAAAATGATAAAAGCTTTAGTTTTAGTTCAAAGAATTATCTATAATTTATTTTTTAAAAACCCTAAAAGACATGAACCAATCAATATTTTCTTGAAAAAGACAACTACATATGTTCAATTGCTTAATTGCAAAAATAATTCGCCAAAAAAAATGTCAAAATGTTAAATAATGTCCTACTAGAGATGTTGCCAACGGATGGTAAATACAACCACGAGTATACCAATAATCTTGGCATATTATTTTTATTTTGAAAGATATATTTAGCATCTATATTTTCTATGCACTTATGCAACTTTTGCCAAACTAAAAAAATACACAAGTGCAAATGACTGCATCGATGTCACACTTCTCCCATATAATTTGAATGTTGAAGTTTGTGAATTTAATAAAAAGAAGAAAATAAAAAAAAAAAATAGTGGGGACAAAATTTATTCTTAAACATGATTTCTAGAGCTTCCAATGAAGCAAATCATTTCTGCGAGGTTGAATGGATAGGAATTAATAATTATTCGTAGGTAGAACTTATATCTCTATTTTGAATTGGTTTGAGATATTTTATATTCATATTTCACATTCTACTTTATCCAGAAAACGTCAGCCACCATACCATACCAGACCAATTTTCCGTGTAACTGTTCTGTTAACTTTCATTTTTAGCGTTAATACACATAAACAGTTAAATGTCAACATTTCAACTAAGTTTTGTTTAAATTAAAAATAGCAATACTTGAAACAAAATGCAATGACGTATTTTGTTAAAGTACATAGTTTAAATTTTAAAATGTTTTAGGTGCTCATCTAAATATGTAGTTATAGTCAATCAGTTAAGTTTAAATATAAATACGTTTCGCGATGCATTTAGAAGTTGGCAACTTCCCAAATTGGCATATGGTAGTTGAACAGCAATAATTCCATAATAAAAATACAATGTTATAATCCCTACAAAAACAATAGCTCGATTCAACAAAATTAAATATTCCTTATTGGCGGCGTATCCAAAATTTGTATGTCCAGTCAAATCACACACTATCTGATTAAATTTAGATTTACTAATATAAAATACTTGAACAAAACCAGCAATGCACTCGCGTATTTTGCCAATACCACATACAAACTACAATCGCCCGTCAAGTAAGTCCTTGGATTACATCATAGATTTAGTTTCTATTCAGCAAGAGCTCGCGCGCCTATCACCTTCGACGTAACACTAACTTACTGCTACAAGTCGGTACCATGGACTGTGGACGGTGCTAGGCGTAGGAGAAGGATGACGCATTCGATTTATTTGTAAGAGGCAAATAACAACATTTATCGGTTGCAATGTGGGTGCAGAATTCAGTTTGGCAATTAACATTGCCCGCGAAGAGCTTTATCATAAAGATGCGCTTAAAAAAAACCTACACAATACCAAATCTAGAACGGTTTTTTTAGGAAAATAGTACTGATTTGTAGCGTTGGTCAATTCTAGGTACGCGCATAACGGAATTAGCATTCCTCAATCTCAGTTAAGGACCCCAACATAGGAAACTATGTGTCAGTGACTGATAAACCAACCAGCCCACCCACACTACTGGTGTAAACCTAACACCACACTATTTAAAAGTGTGAAAATTGGCACCAAGTAATTTTCAAGAAGTTAATGGGTCTTACAATTTGCAAGGTCCGTTTACTAATCAAGCTGAAAAATTAGAAAAACATGAAATTGATTGGTATCTGCATAGAGGGTGTCCCATCAGAGCTATTTCAAAAGTATCACATTTCATAAAGAATCGTTTTTACTTAACTTTTTCTACTCCTATTTTATAATACGCTAATTAAAAGATTAAAATCTGTTTCATAATGAACTTCATTATGATACGGATTTTCATTATGATATCAATCAATCAAATCAATAAATCGAGAAACCTCTAAACAAAGTCTCTTTTTGTTGAACTCATTGACAGAATTCACTAATCACTTATCGCTTTTACTTACCTTTATACAACAATTATCTTATTTTAACTGGCCGACTGACTTACAAACTACGCACTTCTCGACGCGCTTCACATACAAAGCCATTTATTCGAAAAATCTCTAGAATCACGTTAATGCTTGTATATTTAAACCACACAAGAGAATTCCTGCGTCTTCGCGCTAAGGTCGTGTACACTGGCGTCGGCTTGTCCTTACCAATGCAATTTCGTTACAGTATGTGAAAAATGTGCGACATTGTCTATTTTCTTTCTTTTTTTATCCCAGTGGCGTCGGCCTGTCCTCTCCAATGCAATTTCGTAACAGCATATGAAAAATGTGCGACACTGTCCATTTTTATTCGATGGGTTTTTCCTCAGTTTTTCTTTATTATTTTATGTAAAAATTTAGTCGAGAATGTAAGCATTTTGTGTTTAGACAGGTCACCTAATAAAGCATAATCAGTAAAAACTCGAGTAGAAAGTTTAAAAAAAATCAATTTGATAAAACATGCAAATTTATGGCCTATAGTGGAACCATATACATTATACATATTATCATATTTCACAAATTGATATTAGGTACGATAATTAAGTACTCCCAGTTTATATGATATGAGCATGTATTCATTTCAATTCGACAAAATAAAATATTACAGTACCAGAAGATATTCATCAAACAGGTAATATTATTCTAATGATGTTATAATGTTAATTGATGTTAAAAAGTTTCCATTCCAGAATTATTAGAAAATACCGAGGAAAATACATAATAATTATCTGCACATTTTGGTATGTCAAAACTGAATATAAGTAGATACAATTAAATATTACTACTTTAATTTTATGACATCACAACCTAGGTCTTTTGAATGCACAAAAAACATCAGGTGAACTCCAATTGGGCCATAGGTATATAAATTTTTCATTATCTCAAACTTGTTTTAACCCGTTTCCTTGGAACTTGGATGTTTCACGCGCCTTCTGACAGGTGGTCCATTCTTGATACCACGTCAACTACATCCACTGTGACTACTTTATTTGTCAGTACGTAATCCCTCGAGTCGAGTTAGGATGAATACCCTTTTTGAATGGAATACCTATTCAAAACTGCAATTTTTTTCTTTTTTGTTCTAGGTTGCTCCAAGTATTTTCAACTTGCTTTTATGGGTGAAGTGGAAATTTTGAACATATTTGAGTTGGAGACATGTCGATCCTATTTACTTTTGTCACAATATTTATAAAACAAGTTTAAATATTGCATGGAGTTTCTGAATTTAGGTCCAATTCACACATTAATTATTTAGTCTATTGATAGTACCTAGATTTTAACAAAATCCCCTACAAAATTACATTTCCATTACTAATACCTGATAAAAAAAAGCTCAATAATGTTGCAATACATATTGCTCTTTAAATTCACCTATGGAACTTTTTACACGAAGTTTTATGATTAATTAATTGAACAATGAATGATGAATTGGCAAACAGCATCAGGTGCGGGTAATGCCTTTGTTGTCCAAAGCAAGATAAAAGTAAACAAATTTCATTTAGAAGCAAGTGCATCAAACACACATGATAATTCACATTATTGTTTTCCAAGGTACAATACACAGTGAGTAGCTCTATTATTGTCATTGTCCGAGTCATTGTCTATACTATTGACTAGTCTAATAATTATTTATATCAGGTATCAGGTTTATTAAATTGGGCATTAATAATGAATTTTTGACAAAATACATAAGCAACTTTCATTATATTAATAAAATGAAAATGATAAAACTAATTAATTTCCATAAATATCACTTGGAAGGATTCAAAGACTAATGATAAATATAAAACACGCTGGACAACAACCGGCAAGGTGTTACGTCGTAGCCTCAGGATATCCGTTCACTTTCCCTTATTTAGAAACCCATACACAATTCCTATATAGAGTTAACCATACGGTATCGATTAAGAACAGTACACCAGAGGCGCCACACCGTTGGCGTTTTAAACTATTATTGGGTAATTTAATTATATTAGACAACATTAACAGGTTATTTGTTAACTACATATTATTATTACTATAACGGTTCTGCGTTCAAATCGTGAAAAAAAAAACTGTGTATAATTTCCCTATTAAAAATAGGAAAGTGAATACTTAAAATGCTCATGTAGGCAGAGATAGAAGCCTGTCAGGTTAAATATGTAGGTACCTACCTATACTATATATCTAGGTTGTTTGAGAGGGGCAGGTTGCCTGATAACTTTATGACGTCATCTGGGGTGCCTCATTCAATCAATCAATCAAAATATACTTTATAACTGTCAGAAAATAAATTTAATTGACAAAGCATGATCTTAAGTAACGTGCAAGTAATATAAAATTATCGGGTTTTTTAAAAAAAAAGGTACAACCAATAAAATAAAAAATAAACATAAACATGAATGTCAAAGCATATAGAAGGTACAGCCAATACAGGAGAAACATAAATGTCGCGGTCAGAACAAAACAAAACAAAACAATGAAACAAACAAAATTGAAATTTTTCATTGAAAAGTTCATTGATATGATAGTAGGCTTTCCCATGTAAAAATGTTTTGAGCTCTAGTCTAAACTTTTTAAAACCACCTACCTGCCTTAAGTTAACAGGCAGGTGAATAAAAATTTGCCTACTTTTATAAATTAGTGAATTTTGCGTCAATGCAGTCTTGGATTAAGGGAGCTGAATTTTAAGTTGTTGCCTAGTTGGATAAGTTCTTGGATATTCTAACTCATCATAATGTTTTTTGTGCATAAGGCAAGCAGTTTCCATGATGAATATAGGTATAGCATACTGTAAGTATTTGATGTTTTAAAAATAGTGGCTTGCAATGCTTCTAATATCCAACCTTACACAAATAACGCACTGCTCTCTTTTGAATGACAAAAACAGAATCAAACAATTTATTAGAACAGTTACCCCAAAATGCAATGCCATACCTGATATGTGATTCAACCAACGAGAAATAAACCAACTTAGTAGTATTTAAACCAACTTCATTTGACGCTATTTTTACAGCATAGCAACAACTTGCCAATCGTTTGTTCAGATTTGTAACGTGTTCATTAAACCCAAGTTCAGTATCCACATGAATACCAAGAAATTTACAGCTAGTCTTGTTTTCAATTGTGTGTGTGTAATATTAAATCATGAAAAAAAATTTAAGTGTCAATATGTTGGTTTTTTTAGAGTTGAAACAAAGCAAGTTAGAGTCACACCAGCTCTTTACAAGATTTAGGTCTTCAGAAATAATCTTTTTCAACTCTTCAATATTTTTTCCTTTCCAGGACAGAGTAATGTCATCAGCGAATGATGTTATATTAGTCCTAATGGGGAGGTGATTAATATCATTTGAATAAAGTAAAAACAATATTGGTCCCAACACAGATCCTTGTGGAACACCATTGGTCACAGCTAAGTTTGATGACTGAGTATAACGAATCTTAACAAATTTTTCTCTTCCTGGGAAATAAGATTCAAACCATGAGTATGAGATTCCTCCGAAGCCATAGATTTCTAACTTTTTAAGCATTATTTCATGATTTACGCAATCAAAGTCTTTAGAGAAATCACAAAACACAATGGCGTCAAAAGCTCCCTTTCATTAAGACTGATGAATACCTGTTCTAAAAGATTAAACATGGCATCAACATAATGCAAATCTCCATAAGGCACCCCAGATGCGTCATCAAATTACCCATTACCACTATTACCAGACAACCTATGAAATTTAGGAACCTTGGCCTTAGCTAGAATTTAAGGCCTCACAAAGAAAGAATTTCAGCTAATAGATGGCGCTGCAATGCATTATAATAGTTATTTATATAATTAGGAAAAGAAGTGAGTCTTTTTGTGCTGAGCTCAAGATTTTATCTCCAAGGGACTGCAATGTTTCCTTCCACTGCTTTTTTCATTAATTTTTAGAAAAATAAAAAGCCACTAGAATTTACGAAGTAGGTATTTTAAATCTGTTTACTTCAAATGTAAAACCAATACTTATTAGGTCACTCGGAACACATTTCGCATTTTCACTGCTCCAAACATGGGCGCTCTAAACGAGCAGACACATCAACTTGATAAGGAACTTGATTATCCGTATTTAGTTATGCAATAATTTAATCCATAATATTGAACAAAAAATGTAAATCGAACAAATTAGTGGGAATTATGAATAAATTATGCTCTAAGAGAAATTCCCGAAAAGCCCAAGATTAATTACAAGAACATATTAGG